CAATTGTCCGCCTTTTCAAACGCGTCCTTTCGTCTGTCAGGGCTCATCATTCCCTCATGCCTCGTACTTCGTGCCGCCTTAAAACCCTCATTCCTGTTGGCCGTCAGATCAACTACTTTAATCTGTCGGTTAGCGATCCTCTGCCTTTCCACCTGCTTCCTCATCTTAGCCCTTGAAACTTCGCGATCCAACGGCTGGTCTTTCTCCTTGCTTACTTATTTCCCCTATAAATACTGCTAGTTAAATAGATTTTCCTTTTCTTTACCCTCGCATTCTCGCGTAATATCAAGCTTCTCTGCAACTCATGCCCTCCTGCAATTTCACGGTCCTCGATCTTCCAGCCGACAGAGCATCATTTATCATGAGTAAGTCTTCTCAACCCTCTCTCAAAGTACTTTCCTCGAATTTTTAGTTTTATCTTTCTCTTTCCCTTTGTTTCTTCTCGCGTCTTGTTCCTCCGATTTCTGCCCTTCCACTGTGCCGCGTTTCGCCCTTCTTCCTCTTTCTTTTCTTTACTTTAATTAAAATTTTTCCTTTTTCTTTCTTAATTTTCAGATTCCGCTACTTCGAGCGAAAATGATCTGTACAGTGGCAAGGACATGACCTCTCCTTCCTCTTCCACAACTCCCAGTTTAGCGAGCGATTCTGTACAAGAAATTCTTCAGCCTGAGCCCATTTCCATCCTTCCCCCTGCGACGATCAGCGATAGCCCTACAGCCACTGCTATCTCTCCTTACACCTATCTCGTCGACCAACCCGAAGATGAGGTCACCAGCCGCCCTCCTTCTTCTCCCGCCGAGCGTGCTCGTCGAGCTATCGGTCAAGATGACGAGATTGAAGACGAGATCCTCAGGACCACGTCCTGCTATCTGCTCGTGATCCCCAAGACTTTGTTCCTCTGTCTTCTTGCGCTCTTGTCTCTTCGACCATGCCTTCTTGCCCCCGTCAACCCAAGACATCCCAACGGTCCAAGCCGTCTAGACCGTCTTCGAGCGCTTCCCGTCTCGACTTTGATTCAGTTGGTCATTTCGGGACTGCTCGCACCCCTGACGATGATGATACCTACGATAACCCTCCAGAAGGCTACTACACCTTCTTCTGTTCCCACTTCGACCTAGGCCTCCGTTTACCTATCTGTCAGGCGTTGATCGACCTGTGCGGTTTGTATGGCTTGCCTCTCAACCAAATCACTCCTAACGCCTTTAGGACATTAGCATCCTTCATCATTTTGTCCATAGTCCGCATGGGTAGGGTAGATTTAGACTTCTTTGTGTATTGTTATTTTGCTTCGAAACAATCGGACGGCCTCTATTTAAAAAGCCAGAATAAAGCTTGTTTCATTATTGATCGACCATCCAATGTTCCGAGATAGAAAGATCAGTTTGTATATATACGTCCCTCTCAACCTTACCCTTGGGCACCGACCCCCTGGTTCACGGAGGTGCCCCTTAAACCTGCTCGTCCTTCTCCTAACCCAATCTTCGACCGCCACATACAAGTGTGGAACTCGAATCTCGTCGCCTCTACTCCTTTGCTCGAAGATGATAACCTCCTCCACTATTGTGGAATCTTAACCCATAAAAAATTTTCTCCTCCTCTCTTCGAGACCATTCTCCAAATTCGCGTCGACCCTAAACTTGCCGAAATTAATAAGACAGCTCGAGAAGGTGTTCGAGTCCTCCTTATTATATGCTTTTGAATTTACTACATCTTATGCTATCGACTAACTTTCTTCGACTTGCAATTTGTTGGTACAGAGGGATTTTTGCACAAGCCCGACCTCAAAAAGTCTGGTGATAGGAGGTCCGCTCATAAGGATACTTCAGCCAATGTCGAGAAGGCCAAGGGGCAGCCTTCGACCAAAGAAGGTGCTTCTCGCCCTGAGAAGTCCGGGGCTACCCACTCGAGCAGACAGCGGGCTCCTTCTCCTCCCTCCTCCCAGGTCGAGCGCCCCTCAAGCCATTCGGCTAGGGAGAGCGAGGTCTCCAAAAAGCGCGCTCGATCGGAGGTGGTCGGTCAACAGTCCGCCAGCCATTCGCCTTCTCCCAAGCGATCCCACCATGATGGGAGGTCTGTGGTCGACCACGTCGTTCAACATCCTCCCTCGACCACCCCCCTTTCTCTCGTAACCGGAGGACCCTGGGAGGCCGTGTCGCGGCTGATGAGTTTTCTACAATTTGACGACACGCACCGATGGGGGGTTAATCGTCGAAACCAGGCTGAGTATGGCGTTCGTGCCTTGACCCAGGTATATTTTTCTTCCAGCATTGTTCCCTAGTATTCTTTGTCTGCACTTCCCTCATTTTTCTTTGTACTACAGACTCTCGTTTCCCTCGTGCCTCTCCTCGAGGAGACGATGAACGGCACTTGTCGTCCTATTCCCGTGCTCGAGGGCGACAACCGGCACCTCGAGGAAGAAAATAGGAGGTTGATGGCAGAGAATGAAGACCTGCTCAAAACATGCCACGCTTTGGCGGAGCAACTGAAGAAAGATGAGCAGCGCTACAAAGATGCGTTGAAGGGCAAGGACAAAGCCCTTGAAGTGGAGAGGGTTGGTCGGAAGAAAGAAGTCGAAGCCGCTGCTATTACTGCGATCGAGCAGTCCCGTCGGGCTTTGTGGAGGACCCAAGTTGGTCAGACTTTTCTCCAGGCCTATCGGGAGCAGCTGATCAAAGACTTCATATGCTCAATGGCGTTCCTTAAAGAGGCTGCTGAGATGGGGATGGACTTCTATACCTACAGCATGGAGGAGATCGAGCGCCAGCTGAAAGAGATGGGGTTCACAGGCGAGCTCGACCAGGACAAGACATTGGAGGCAATTCCCTCTGCACCCTCTAACTTCACCGGCGACCCCAATTTGCCTGCTGAGCATCCTTGGTGGACCGAGTCTTTAGAGCGGACTTTGGCGGGGGATCCTTCCTTGAAGAGCTCTTTCGATATGCCTAGGCCAGGCGATGCGCCCTTGGTTCGCCTCTCAGTGGCCATCCTTCCTCCCCAGCCTTTGACCACTAATGCTCCGTCGTCCATCTCCAATCCATCTGCCTCGGCCATCGCTCACTCTGCTGCCGCCTCCCTTTCCTC